GCGAGGTCTGAGTCTGGGTTTGGTCTGTCCCAGAGGTCTGAGTCTGGGTTTGGTCTGTCCCCGAGGTCTGAGTCTGGGTTTGGTCTGTCCCAGAGGTCTGAGTCTGGGTTTGGTCTGAGTCTGGGTTGGGTCTGTCCCCGAGGTCTGAGTCTGGGTTTGGTCTGAGTCTGGGTTGGGTCTGTCCCCGAGGTCTGAGTCTGGGTTTGGTCTGTCCCGAGGTCTGAGTCTGGGTTTGGTCTGAGTCTGGGTTGGGTCTGTCCCCAAGGTCTGAGTCTGGGTTTGGTCTGTCCCAGAGGTCTGAGTCTGGGTTTGGTCTGTCCCAGAGGTCTGAGTCTGGGTTTGGTCTGTCCCAGAGGTCTGAGTCTGGTTTGGTCTGTCCCCGAGGTCTGAGTCTGGGTTTGGTCTGTCCCCGAGGTCTGAGTCTGGGTTTGGTCTGTCCTAGAGGTCTGAGTCTGGTTTGGTCTGAGTCTGAGTTGGGTCTGTCCCCGAGGTCTGAGTCTGGGTTTGGTCTGAGTCTGAGTTGGGTCTGTCCCGAGGTCTGAGTCTGGGTTTGGTCTGTCCCCGAGGTCTGAGTCTGGGTTTGGTCTGTCCCCGAGGTCTGAGTCTGGGTTTGGTCTGTCCCCGAGGTCTGAGTCTGGGTTTGGTCTGTCCCCGAGGTCTGAGTCTGGGTTTGGTCTGTCCCGAGGTCTGAGTCTGGGTTTGGTCTTTCCGCGAGGTCTGAGTCTGGGTTTGGTCTTTCCGCGAGGTCTGAGTCTGGGTTTGGTCTGTCCCCGAGGTCTGAGTCTGGGTTTGGTCTGAGTCTGGGTTGGTCTGTCCCCGAGGTCTGAGTCTGGGTTTGGTCTGAGTCTGGGTTTGGTCTGTCCCCGAGGTCTGAGTCTGGGTTTGGTCTTTCCGCGAGGTCTGAGTCTGGTTTGGTCTTTCCGCGAGGTCTGAGTCTGGGTTTGGTCTTTCCGCGAGGTCTGAGTCTGGGTTGGTCTGCTCATTAAACATATTATTATTATTATTATTATTATTATTATTAGAGGGTTCTTTCTTTCCTCTCTCCCCTCACTTGAACCCCTCTCTCCTTTCTCCTCCTGTCCCTGAATGCATCACGCTCGGTGTTAGCTGTTGGCAGGATCTTCAGACTGCACTGCAAAAAAATGATCAAATATGAGATCATAATTGCTAGAATCGAGTTTTTTTAACTTGACTTAAGTTCTTTCTGACTGTCTTAAAATGAGATTTGCCAATGAACACCTCCATGAACACATACTGCTGTTATATAAATTAACCTCCGTGAACACATACGGCTGTTATATAAAGTCACCTCCCTGAACACATACTACTGTTATATAAAGTCACCTCCGTGAACACATACTGCTGTTATATAAAGTCACCGCCGTGAACACATACTGCTGTTATATAAAGTCACCTCCGTGAACACATACTGCTGTTATATAAAGTCACCTCCGTGAACACATACTGCTGTTATATAAAGTCACCTCCGTGAACACATACTGCTGTTATATAAAGTCACCTCCGTGAACACATACTACTGTTATATAAAGTCACCTCCGTGAACACATACTGCTGTTATATAAAGTCACCTCCGTGAACACATACTGCTGTTATATAAAGTCACCTCCGTGAACACATACTGCTGTTATATAAAGTAACCTCCGTGAACACATACTGCTGTTATATAAAGTCACCTCCGTGAACACATACTGCTGTTATATAAAGTCACCTCCGTGAACACATACTGCTGTTATATAAAGTCACCTCCGTGAACACATACTACTGTTATATAAAGTCACCTCCGTGAACACATACTGCTGTTATATAAAGTCACCGCCGTGAACACATACTGCTGTTATATAAAGTCACCTCCGTGAACACATACTGCTGTTATATAAAGTCACCTCCGTGAACACATACTGCTGTTATATAAAGTCACCTCCGTGAACACATACTGCTGTTATATAAAGTCACCTCCGTGAACACATACTACTGTTATATAAAGTCACCTCCGTGAACACATACTGCTGTTATATAAAGTCACCTCCGTGAACACATACTACTGTTATATAAAGTTACCTCCGTGAACACATACTGCTGTTACATAAATTAACCTCCGTGAACACATACTGCTGTTATATAAAGTCACCTCCGTGAACACATACTGCTGTTATATAAAGTCACCTCCGTGAACACATACTGCTGTTATATAAAGTCACCTCCGTGAACACATACTACTGTTATATAAAGTCACCTCCGTGAACACATACTGCTGTTATATAAAGTCACCTCCGTGAACACATACTGCTGTTATATAAAGTCACCTCCGTGAACACATACTGCTGTTATATAAAGTCACCTCCGTGAACACATACTACTGTTATATAAAGTCACCTCCGTGAACACATACTGCTGTTATATAAAGTCACCTCCGTGAACACATACTACTGTTATATAAAGTCACCTCCGTGAACACATACTACTGTTATATAAAGTCACCTCCATGAACACATACTGCTGTTATATAAAGTCACCTCCGTGAACACACACTGCTGTTATATAAAGTCACCTCCGTGAACACATACTGTTATATAAAGTCACCTCCGTGAACACATACTGCTGTTATATAAAGTCACCTCCGTGAACACATACTGCTGTTATATAAAGTCACCGTGAACACATACTGTTATATAAAGTCACCTCCGTGAACACATACGGCTGTTATATAAAGTCACCTCCGTGAACACACACTGCTGTTATATAAAGTCACTGTGAACACATACTGCTGTTATATAAAGTCACCTCCGTGAACACATACTGGTGTTATATAAAGTCACCTCCGTGAACACATACTGTTATATAAAGTCACCTCCGTGAACACATACTGCTGTTATATAAAGTCACCTCCGTGAACACACACTGCTGTTATATAAAGTCACTGTGAACACATACTGCTGTTATATAAAGTCACCTCCGTGAACACATACTGCTGTTATATAAAGTCACCTCCGTGAACACATACTGCTGTTATGTAAAGTCAACCCGGTGAACACATACTGTTATATAAAGTCACCTCCGTGAACACATACGGCTGTTATATAAAGTCACCTCCGTGAACACATACTGCTGTTATATAAAGTCACCTCCGTGAACACATACTGCTGTTATATAAAGTCACCTCCGTGAACACATACTGCTGTTACATAAAGTCACCTCCGTGAACACATACTGCTGTTATATAAAGTCACCTCCGTGAACACATACTGCTGTTATATAAAGTCACTGTGAACACATACTGCTGTTATATAAAGTCACCTCCGTGAACACATACTGCTGTTATATAAAGTCACCTCCGTGAAAACATACTGCTGTTATATAAAGTCACCTCCGTGAACACAGACTGCTGTTATATAAAGTCACTTCCGTGAACATATACTGCTGTTATATAAAGTCACCTCCGTGAACACATACTGCTGTTATATAAAGTCACCTCCGTGAACACATACTGCTGTTATATAAAGTCACCTCCGTGAACACATACTGCTGTTATATAAAGTCACCTCCGTGAACACATACTGCTGTTATATAAAGTCACAGTGAACACATACTGCTGTTATATAAAGTCGCCTCCATGAACACATACTGCTGTTATATAAAGTCACCTCCGTGAACACATACTGCTGTTATATAAAGTCACCTCCGTGAACACATACTGCTGTTATATAAAGTCACAGTGAACACATACTGCTGTTATATAAAGTCACAGTGAACACATACTGCTGTTATATAAAGTCTGTGAAGGTCTCAGACACAGAGACGCTGCAGAGCTGCATTATTGGAGAAGATCTTTACATGAGAAGGCGCTAGCATAGCTTTGTTAGCATCAGAGTCGGCTACTTCTGCCACTTCCGGCGCTGGTCAGGACGTTCTGGTGTGAAGACCCCTGCGTCTGAAAACTAGAGAATGCGCGTCTGGTAAGCGAGGCTTCAGCGTTTGAGGACCGAGGCTCTAGACCCAGGACTGAGGCTCTAGACCCAGGACTGAGGCTGTAGACCCAGGACTGAGGCTGTAGACCCAGGACCGAGACTGTAGACCCAGGACTGAGGCTGTAGACCCAGGACCGAGACTGTAGACCCAGGACTGAGGCTGTAGATCCAGGGACAAGGCTGTAGACCCAGGACTGAGGCACGGGGAGAACATGCAATCTCTGCACAGAAAGGTCCAGGAAGTAGAATAGAACCCAGGACCTACTTTCTGTGAAGCACAAGCCCTACCGTGGTGATATGTTAGCTTCAGGCTGTAACAGGAGCGTTGCTAAGAGGGTTGCTAAGGCAAACTTCAGCAGACAGACACAAACACTCTCTGACCCTACAACTCTCTCTGGTCTCTCTCTCTGGTCTCTCTCTGGTCTCTCTCTGGTCTCTCTCTGGTCTCTCTCTGGTCTCTCTCTCTGGTCTCTCTCTGGTCTCTCTCTGGTCTCTCTCTCTGGTCTCTCTCTGGTCTCTCTCTGGTCTCTCTCTGGTCTCTCTGGTCTCTCTCTGGTTTCTCTCTCTGGTCTCTCTCTGGTTTCTCTCTCTGGTCTCTCTCTGGTCTCTCTCTAGTCTCTCTCTCTGGTTTCTCTCTGGTCTCTATCTCTGGTCTCTGTCTGGTCCCTCTCTGGTCTCTCTCTGCTCTCTCTCTGGTCTCTCTCTGGTCTCTCTCTGGTCTCTCTCTCTGGTCTCTCTCTGGTCTCTCTCTGGTCTCTCTCTGGTCTCTCTCTGCTCTCTCTCTGGTCTCTCTCTGGTCTCTCTCTGGTCTCTCTCTGGTCTCTCTCTGGTCTCTCTCTGGTCTCTCTCTGGTCTCTCTCTGGTCTCTTTCTGGTCTCTCTCTGGTCTCTCTCTGCTCTCTCTCTGGTCTCTCTCTCTTGTTGTTGCTGCCTGTGGATAGTCTCAGTGTGACCTCCTTCTCGTTGTTGCAGTCACGGAGTACGCCTCAGTTTCCTTCTGCTCTGTGGGTAAAGAATGCGGTGTGGAGAGGCGTCTTATCTCCTGCAGCCGCACCTGCCCTGGGCCACACCTGCCCTGGGCCACACCTGCCCTGGGCCACACCTGCCCTGGGCCACACCTGCCCCGCGCCGTCACTTCACACTCTGTGGTTTTCATGCATCTTTCTGATCACGTCTGTCGCCATCATTCCATCTCCCCACACACACACACACACACACACACACACACACACACACACACACACGCACACACACACACACACACACACACACACACACACACACACACACACACACACACACACACACACACACACCTGCTCTGGACACAAGCCACAGACCACCTGCAGGAGGGGGGGTTGAGTTCTCTCAATTCCTTTTATTGATATTTATAAAAGTAAATGTCCTGGATCTGCAGCCTCAGTCCTGGGTCTACAGCCTCAGTCCTGGGTCTACAGCCTCAGTCCTGGGTCTACAGCCTCAGTCCTGGGTCTACAGCCTCAGTCCTGGGTCTACAGCCTCAGTCCTGGGTCTACAGCCTCAGTCCTAGGTCTACAGTCTCAGTCCTGGGTCTACAGCCTCAGTCCTGGGTCTACAGCCTCAGTCCTGGATCTACAGCCTCAGTCCTGGATCTACAGCCTCAGTCCTGGGTCTACAGCCTCAGTCCTGGGTCTACAGCCTCAGTCCTGGATCTACAGTCTCAGTCCTGGGTCTACAGCCTCAGTCCTGGGTCTACAGCCTCAGTCCTGGGTCTACAGCCTCAGTCCTGGGTCTACAGCCCCAGTCCTGGGTCTACAGCCTCAGTCCTGGGTCTACAGCCTCAGTCCTGGGTCTACAGCCTCAGTCCTGGGTCTACAGCCTCAGTCCTGAGAGCCTCAGTCCTGGGTCTACAGTCTCAGTCCTGGGTCTACAGCCTCAGTCCTGGGTCTACAGCCTCAGTCCTGGGTCTACAGCCTCAGTCCTGGGTCTACAGCCTCAGTCCTGGGTCTACAGCCTCAGTTTTTTATGGATGTGTTTTTTAATTTGCTCTCATTGAATCGTCCTCCTGTGTTGGGTGATGTCATCGACCCGTGGCCTGTCGTAACTCTGCGTGTGACATCACAGAGCCGCCGCGTCTCGGGGAGATCGTAAATATCAATAAAAGCATCTTCACGCCGCGCGCCGCAGAGAGATCCAACATGGCGTCATCGTCGCGGCAACCACTTAGAGCCACCGCCGGCGCGAGACGTTTACGAGACGATAAAACACAAATGTGTGTCGCAGACTTTGACAGAAACATAAACCTCTGATATTTACTGTTTAAAAGGTTTGACATCACAGACTAATGGACCATAAGGAGACCGGAGGGAGACCAGAGGGAGACCGGAGGGAGACCGGAGGGAGACCGGAGGGAGAGCAGAGGGAGACCAGAGGGAGACCGGAGGGAGACCAGAGGGAGACCGGAGGGAGACCAGAGGGAGACCGGAGGGAGAGCAGAGGGAGACCAGAGGGAGACCGGAGGGAGAGCAGAGGGAGACCAGAGGGAGAGCAGAGGGAGACCAGAGGGAGACTGGAGGGAGACCGGAGGGAGACCGGAGGGAGAGCAGAGGGAGACCGGAGGGAGAGCAGAGGGAGACCGGAGGGAAAGACCACAGAGAGAGACCAGAGAGAGACCGGAGGGAGAGCAGAGGGAGACCAGAGGGAGACCGGAGGGAGAGCAGAGGGAGACCAGAGGAAGACCGGAGGGAGACCAGAGGGAGACCAGAGGGAGACTGGAGGGAGACCGGAGGGAGAGCAGAGGGAGACCGGAGGGAAAGACCACAGAGAGAGACCAGAGAGAGAGAGACCAGAGAGAGACCAGAGAGAGAGAGACCAGAGAGAGACCAGAGAGAGACCAGAGAGAGAGAGACCAGAGAGAGACCATAGAGACCAGAGAGAGACCAGAGAGAGACCAGAGAGAGAGAGAGAGACCAGAGAGAGAGACCAGAGAGAGACCAGAGAGAGACCAGAGAGAGACCAGAGAGAGACCAGAGAGAGAGACCAGAGAGAGACCAGAGAGGGACCAGAGAGAGACCAGAGAGAGACCAGAGAGAGACCAGAGAGAGACCAGAGAGAGAGACCAGAGAGAGACCAGAGAGACCAGAGAGAGACCAGAGAGAGACCAGAGAGACCAGAGAGAGAGACCAGAGAGAGACCAGAGAGAGAGACCAGAGAGAGACCAGAGAGAGACCAGAGAGAGACCAGAGAGAGACCAGAGAGAGACCAGAGAGAGACCAGAGACCAATAAAATCATAAAAATGTCATATCTAAATGCATTTATTATACAGCTCCTCACAGCAGCAGGAGAACCATTGATGTGAATGTAATTTCAAAACGTTCTACCGGTCATTATTTTCTATAACGGACCTCTCAAAACAATAATGACCGCTGCCCTTTGGCAACGCACTCTCTGCTTGTCTTTCAAATGCGTGGATAACTCCGACAGTAGTTCCGGCCACTCCGGAGCTAGCCACGCTCAATCAACACACTTAAATGTTAATCGGAGAATACTTATACATAAACATTCTTCACACACGTGCACGGAGAGTTTCAGATTTTTCTGGTCTTGTCTTCATGACAAAAACACTATTTCTCTGCGTCAAAAAGCGATCGTGAAAAACCCGGAAGTAGTTCCGGCCGCTCAATAAACGCAAATTTATACATATCCAGTCTTAATACAAGTGCACGGAAGTTTTCAGAATTTTCCGTTTACGTTTTCATGACAAAAACACTGATGTAATGCGAGAAAAGGCGATCCCGAAAACCCGGAAGTAGATACCGGCACATTTTAAGATACCGGCACATTTTAGGAACATTTGCAGAGGATTGAATTATGGATTTAGGTTATGTTTATGTTTGGGTCACTCACCGCTGATGTTCAGGATTCTGTGTTCAGTTTTCATGCAGTTCCAGAGAGTTCTAGTTTGGAAGTTGCTAGCCTAACTGTTGCTAGCATAGCCACGGGAAAACCTTTGGGAACTATTTTATTTTCTGTCATTAAACCTTTCGTCATTCCTAAAAGTGAACTGAAGTTTATATTGTGTGTTCTGTTGGTATAAAGCCGCTGCGCGTCGGGGTCCGCTTCGCCCTGAAGGTACTTATTTTCCGATAATGACCTGCGTAATATACGTTATCCCTTACATATATAACAGAGGTGTGGTCTGAAAGTTAGGTCCCTCAGCTTTAATCACAGGAAAGTGATTGAGTTCTTTGTGTTCTCTTTCACCTGCGGCACCTCTGACCTCATTCAGTCTGTCCCTGTGCTCCTCCTGTCCCTGTGCTCCCCTGGTGCCTGTGCTCCTCCTGTCCCTGTGCTCCCCTGGTCCCTGTGCTCCCCTGGTCCCTGTGCTCACCCTGTCCCTGTGTTCCCCCTGTCCCTGTGCTCACCCTGTCCCTGTGCTCACCCTGTCCCTGTGTTCCTCCTGTCCCTGTGCTCCCCCTGTCCCTGTGTTCCCCCTGTCCCTGTGCTCACCCTGTCCCTGTGCTCACCCTGTCCCTGTGTTCCCCCTGTCCCTGTGCTCACCCTGTCCCTGTGTTCCCCCTGTCCCTGTGCTCACCCTGTCCCTGTGCTCACCCTGTCCCTGTGTTCCTCCTGTCCCTGTGCTCCCCCTGTCCCTGTGTTCCCCCTGTCCCTGTGCTCACCCTGTCCCTGTGCTCACCCTGTCCCTGTGTTCCCCCTGTCCCTGTGCTCACCCTGTCCCTGTGTTCCTCCTGTCCCTGTGCTCCCCCTGTCCCTGTGTTCCCCCTGTCCCTGTGCTCACCCTGTCCCTGTGTTCCTCCTGTCCCTGTGCTCCCCCTGTCCCTGTGTTCCCCCTGTCCCTGTGCTCACCCTGTCCCTGTGCTCACCCTGTCCCTGTGCTCCCCCTGTCCCTGTGTTCCCCCTGTCCCTGTGCTCCCCTGGTCCCTGTGTTCCCCCTGTCCCTGTGTTCCCCCTGTCCCTGTGTTCCCCCTGTCCCTGTGCTCACCCTGTCCCTGTGCTCACCCTGTCCCTGTGCTCACCCTGTCCCTGTGCTCCCCCTGTCCCTGTGTTCACCCTGTCCCTGTGCTCACCCTGTCCCTGTGCTCACCCTGTCCCTGTGCTCCCCCTGTCCCTGTGCTCACCCTGTCCCTGTGCTCCCCCTGTCCCTGTGCTCCCCTGGTCCCTGTGCTCCCCCTGCTCCCCCCCTTCATGACCCCCGGCCTTGCTCCAGCTCTCTCTCTCCACATCTACACGACACATAAAGTGCTGTCGGAGATCATTGGAAAAAGTGTTTAACCCGAGGTCTGGTCCGAGGTCTGGTCCGAGGTCTCGTCTGAGGTCTCGTCTGAGGTCTCTTCTGAGGTCTCGTCTGAGGTCTCTTCTGAGGTCTCGTCCGAGGTCTGGTCCGAGGTCTGGTCCGAGGTCTGGTCCGAGGTCTCGTCTGAGGTCTCGTCTGAGGTCTGGTCCAAGGTCTGGTCCGAGGTCTAGTCTGAGGTCTGGTCCGAGGTCTGGTCCGAGGTCTCGTCTGAGGTCTAGTCCGAGGTCTGGTCCGAGGTCTCGTCTGAGGTCTGGTCCGAGGTCTGGTCCGAGGTCTCGTCTGAGGTCTGGTCCGAGGTCTGGTCCGAGGTCTCGTCTGAGGTCTGGTCCGAGGTCTGGTCCGAGGTCTGGTCCGAGGTCTGGTCCGAGGTCTGGTCCGAGGTCTCGTCTGAGGTCTCGTCTGAGGTCTGGTCCGAGGTCTGGTCCGAGGTCTCGTCTGAGGTCTGGTCCGAGGTCTGGTCCGAGGTCTGGTCCGAGGTCTCGTCCGAGGTCTGGTCCGAGGTCTGGTCCGAGGTCTCGTCTGAGGTCTGGTCCGAGGTCTGGTCCGAGGTCTGGTCCGAGGTCTCGTCTGAGGTCTGGTCTGAGGTCTGGTCCGAGGTCTAGTCTGAGGTCTGGTCCGAGGTCTGGTCCGAGGTCTCGTCTGAGGTCTGGTCCGAGGTCTGGTCCGAGGTCTCGTCTGAGGTCTCGTCCGAGGTCTCGTCTGAGGTCTGGTCCGAGGTCTCTTCTGAGGTCTCGTCTGAGGTCTCTTCTGAGGTCTGGTCCGAGGTCTGGTCCGAGGTCTGGTCCGAGGTCTGGTCCGAGGTCTGGTCCGAGGTCTGGTCCGAGGTCTCGTCTGAGGTCTCGTCTGAGGTCTCGTCTGAGTTCTCGTCTGAGGTCTCGTCAGGGTCCTTCCAGCTCCTGAAGCTTGTGTGTCCTGTGCTGCCACCTGCAGGATAACAATATGTTTGAAATCTTTCAATCAGACCAAATGACTGACTACAGCTGCTGATGAGGGACACAATAGACCACAGCATTCTGCTGCAGCATGTGACATCACTCAGAGGAACAGCCCTGGACTGGTTTAAATCCTATTTATCAGATCGGTATCACTTTGTCAACGTAAATCAGAACTCGTCGCCTTATTCTGGAGTAGAATTTGGTGTGCCGCAGGGTTCGGTACTCGGACCGATTCTTTTCACTCTCTACATGCTGCTGCTAGGAAACATCATTAAAAAGCATTCACTTCTACAGCCGCAGACACAGCTGCAGACAGAGCAACAGACACAGCTACAGACACAGCTGCAGACAGAGCAACAGACACAGCTGCAGACACAACTACACACACAGCTACAGACACAGCTGCAGACACAGCAACAGACACAGCTGCAGACACAGCTACAGACACAGCTGCAGACACAGCTTTATCTGTCGATGAAACCAAATCAGACGGATCAGTTAAAAAGAGTCAGTGCTGCAGAAAAGACCTAAAAAAGTGGATGACTCTAAACTTTCTACTTCTTAACCATCAACGTCAGCATAGAACCATCAACTCTGTGACGTCAGCATAGAACCATCAACTCTGTGACGTCAGCATAGAACCATCAACTCTGTGACGTCAGAGTTGAGAGAGAGAGCACATAACTCCGGTGTTAAAATCACTCCACTGGCTTCTGTGGAGGAGAGACCAGACAGAGAGACCAGAGAGAGACCAGAGAGAGAGACCAGAGAGAGACCAGACAGAGAGACCAGAGAGAGACCAGAGAGAGAGACCAGAGAGAGACCAGAGAGAGAGACCAGAGAGAGACCAGAGAGAGACCAGAGAGAGACCAGAGAGAGAGACCAGAGAGAGACCAGAGAGAGACCAGAGAGAGACCACTGGCTTCTGTGGAGGACAGAATAAAGTTTAAAATCCTTCTTTTAACAAACAAAGACATAAATGGCTCCTTCTTTTCTTCAAGACACGTTAGTGTCATATCAACCACACCCAGCACTGGAGAGAGACCCTCTGTGTCCACATGAGGAGAGAGACCCTCTGTGTGCGCATGAGGAGAGAGACCCTCTGTGTCCGCATGAGGAGAGAGACCCTCTGTGTCTGCATGAGGAGAGAGACCCTCTGTGTCCACATGAGGAGAGAGACCCTCTGTGTGCGCATGAGGAGAGAGACCCTCTGTGTCCGCATGAGGAGAGAGACCCTCTGTGTCTGCATGAGGAGAGAGACCCTCTGTGTCCACATGAGGAGAGAGACCCTCTGTGTGTGCATGAGGAGAGAGACCCTCTGTGTCCACATGAGGAGAGAGACCCTCTGTGTCCGCATGAGGAGAGAGACCCTCTGTGTCCACATGAGGAGAGAGACCCTCTGTGTCCGCATGAGGAGAGAGACCCTCTGTGTCCGCATGAGGAGAGAGACCCTCTGTGTCTGCATGAGGAGAGATACCCTCTGTGTCCGCATGAGGAGAGAGACCCTCTGTGTCTGCATGAGGAGAGAGACCCTCTGTGTCTGCATGAGGAGAGAGACCCTCTGTGTCCGCATGAGGAGAGAGACCCTCTGTGTCCGCATGTGGAGAGAGACCCTCTGTGTCCGCATGGGGAGAGAGACCCTCTGTGTCCGCATGAGGAGAGAGACCCTCTGTGTCCACATGAGGAGAGAGACCCTCTGTGTGCGCATGAGGAGAGAGACCCTCTGTGTGCGCATGAGGAGAGAGACCCTCTGTGTCCGCATGAGGAGAGAGACCCTCTGTGTCTGCATGAGGAGAGAGACCCTCTGTGTCCACATGAGGAGAGAGACCCTCTGTGTCTGCATGAGGAGAGAGACCCTCTGTGTCCACATGAGGAGAGAGACCCTCTGTGTGCGCATGAGGAGAGAGACCCTCTGTGTCCACATGAGGAGAGAGACCCTCTGTGTCCGCATGAGGAGAGAGACCCTCTGTGTCTGCATGAGGAGAGAGACCCTCTGTGTGCGCATGAGGAGAGAGACCCTCTGTGTCCGCATGAGGAGAGAGACCCTCTGTGTCCGCATGAGGAGAGAGACCCTCTGTGTCTGCATGAGGAGAGAGACCCTCTGTGTCCGCATGAGGAGAGAGACCCTCTGTGTCTTGGATCTCCACGGGGGGCGTCTGCAGGAAACACATGGCTCTAGCTCCCAGAGTCACATGACGCCGCTCTGTAGCTGTAAACGGTGGCGTTCTGGCTCGCCGCTCTGTAGCTGTAAACGGTGGCGTTCTGGCTCGCCGCTCTGTGGCTGTAAACGGTGGCGTTCTGGCTCGCCGCTCTGTGGCTGTAAACGGTGGCGTTCTGGCTCGCCGCTCTGTGGCTGTAAACGGTGGCGTTCTGGCTCGCCGCTCTGTGGCTGTAAACGGTGGCGTTCTGGCTCGCCGCTCTGTGGCTGTAAACGGTGGCGTTCTGGCTCGCCGCTCTGAGGCGGCGGGTTATGGCGTCTTTAATTGGAACAGGGCTGTGATTGGACGCTGGACCAGAGCCAAGAGCCAGTGAGAGGCGGCGACAGAGGCTCGTGAAACAGCAGGGGGGGGGCCTCTGTGTGGGGGCAGGGGAGGGGGGGCCTCTGTGTGGGGGCAGGGGGGGTGAAGATGACTGTGGATCGTGGCATTATAAAAATCACTGCCAGAGACGATGATGTTAAAGTTACAGCAAGAAACTACTACTACTAAAAATAACGTTATGCTGCGGTCAGTGGCGTTCCAAGCGTACCCGGGGCCCCAGGCAACAGAGTCTTTGGGGGCCCCGATAACGACCACATAACCACATAAAAAAGTTTATATTACAGTAGGTATAAATATTTATTTAATAATAAGGTAAAATACAATATTTATTACTTGTTTACATTCATAGAAATTAAATGTTGATAACTTCTTATTTTTAACCATTAATGGATAGGCCTGGGGCCTGTCTGGGACCTGCCTGGGGCCTGTCTGGGGCCTGTCTGGGGCCTGCCTGGGGCCTGCCTGGGACCTGCCTGGGGCCTGCCTGGGACCTGCCTGGGGCCTGTCTGGGGCCTGTCTGGGACCTGCCTGGGACCTGCCTGGGGCCTGTCTGGGGCCTGCCTGGGGCCTGTCTGGGGCCTGCATGGGGCCTGCCTGGGGCCTGCTTGGGGCCTGCCTGGGGCCTGCCTGGGACCTGCCTGGGGCCTGCTTGGGGCCTGCTTGGGGCCTGCCTGGGGCCTGCCTGGGACCTGCCTGGGGCCTGCCTGGGACCTGCCTGGGGCCTGCCTGGGACCTGCCTGGGGCCTGTCTGGGGCCTGCCTGGGGCCTGTCTGGGGCCTGCTTGGGGCCTGCCTGGGACCTGCCTGGGGCCTGTCTGGGGCCTGCCTGGGGCCTGTCTGGGGCCTGCTTGGGGCCTGCTTGGGGCCTGTCTGGGGCCTGCCTGGGGCCTGTCTGGGACCTGCCTGGGGCCTGCCTGGGACCTGCCTGGGGCCTGCCTGGCTCACTGTACAGTCTACCATAAAAATCTGTGAATACTTCAGAACTTATTGTGACACAAAGCAATGAGAAATTAAAGCCGCAAGCGGCGTCAAACGTCCCTCGCCGCACAATGCAACCGAGGTGGCGCTTACGCGCCATTTTCCCACTGCCCTGACGGGAGCGACACTGTGCATTTTGAATGCCTATGATCAGTGATTGTGTGTGTCTTTGAAAAGGTAAGACTAATTCTCCCCATGTAACACTTGTATCACTCTGTAGGGGGCGCTATTGCTGCAATTTCATATTTTACACTTTCAGTTTACTCAAACCCAAGAGTTGAACAATCAATTCAAATTTTGTGCAAATCGGACTTTGTATGCGCAAATGGTGGCATTTATGTTGTAAAATAGCGCCCCCTACAATTTCAATTTTTTAGTCTTATACCAAAGAACACCAAGATAATACACTTTATGCCTGAAAAAAACTTGTGGCAAAGTTTGGTGAATTTTGTGTTTGTTATGTGGGTCAAATATGAGATCAAACAACTGAAAACCTAAATACCTTTATCCCCATGTAAACCTTTACTCAGCCTCTAGGGGGCGATAATGGGCCAATGTTATTGTTCACACTGTCATGTGACCTAGGCCCAGGAGTTGAACAATAGAGTCAAGTTTAGTGCTAATGTACTTCTGTTTGTTCATACAATCTGTGAGTGTGTCCACACAGTCTCCATTGGATAACATGAGAACTTCACACCTCTCTATGAAAATGACCACACTTTGGGAGTCTGTCACGCTCAGACCGTTTGACTTATTCAAACTCTATATGCAACTATTGATGGTCCATGTGTTGAGACCATGTGGAGCAATTTTCAGACAAATTAGTGAAACGGCCGCGGCTGGTTTGATGTTTGAGCGAGGTGTACTTTTCAGAGATTTAACGATTTTCCCATAGACAGAGTGTGGAGCATGTTTGTTGTCGCCACGGCAACAGAGTAAAAATTAGGCATAAGTTGTCATTGACTTTTTGAATCCAGATGACAAAACAGTATTATGTGCAAAATTTCAAACATTTTGAAAAAACTAAATTGGATTAGGCCCATGTAAAACTTTAACATAGTCTGTAGGGGGCGCTCATGAGCCAATTTCAATATTTCCACTTTCAATTGACCTAGACCCTGGAGCTGAACAATGGATTAAAATTTTGTGCAAATCAGACTTTGTTTGGGAGCAAATTTACTTTTGTCAAAGAGAAATAAAAATGTCACATTTTGCCGCTCCGCTGCTCGGACAATCATTAACTGATCCAAATTCTATATTGAATAATTGATGGTACATGTGTTTAGACCATGTGGAGCGATTTTGAGACAAATCGGTGAAACGGCCGAGGAGGAGATCATTTCCAACCGACATGTGTTTTAAAAGATCAATTTTCATTTTTCCATTTCCCAATTAAATTAATGAGCTTCCTGTTTGTCAGGGGGCGGAGCCATAATAACTTTTTTTCATGTCTTGAGGAACATGTGTACCGAATTTCGTGGCTTTTAGTGAAAAAGTAAAAGTCCTTTATTGAATTGGACTGCCTACGCGTTTCGACCAACAGCAGTCTTTGTCAGGGCATAAAAACAGTTGTGTGTTTGCAGAGGTTTACGGGTTGGCGCGGAGGTCGTAAACAAATGCTAATCACTGAAGTCACCTTAGTGCTAATGCTAATGCTAATACTGAGCCACTGTTCGCAGTCCGCTCCCGGGGTCTCTCACTTACTCCGTTTATTGAACAATTCCAGTCAATGTCCAGACGAAACAAAGGGTTTCTGAGTTCAAAAACAGGAACGAAAATACAACTCAGTCAAAGATGTTGATTCACCAACAACAGATCAGAGAATCAAAGAATCAGCAATAATAACAAACTCAGAGGGACCACTGTCCTTAGACCCTACTGCACCATGGGGTTCTCTCTGGTCTCTCTCTGGTCTCTCTGGTCTCTCTCTGGTCTCTCTCTGGTCTCTCTCTGGTCTCTCTCTGGTCTCTCTGTTCTCTCTGGTCTCTCTCTGGTCTCTCTGGTCTCTCTCTGGTCTCTCTCTGGTCTCTCTCTGGTCTCTCTGGTCTCTCTGGTCTCTCTCTGGTCTCTCTCTGGTCTCTCTGGTCTCTCTGGTCTCTCTCTGGTCTCTCTGGTCTCTCTCTGGTCTCTCTCTGGTCTCTCTCTGGTCTCTCTGGTCTCTCTCTGGTCTCTCTCTGGTCTCTCTCTGGTCTCTCTGGTCTCTCTCTGGTCTCTCTCTGGTCTCTCTCTGGTCTCTCTGGTCTCTCTGGTCTCTCTTTGGTCTCTCTCTGGTCTCTCTGGTCTCTCTGGTCTCTCTCTGGTCTCTCTGGTCTCTCTCTGGTCTCTCTCTGGTCTCTCTCTGGTCTCTCTGGTCTCTCTCTGGTCTCTCTCTGGTCTCTCTCTGGTCTCTCTCTGGTCTCTCTCTGGTCTCTCTCTGGTCTCTCTCTGGTCTCTCTGGTCTCTCTCTGGTCTCTCTCTGGTCTCTCTGGTCTCTCTCTGGTCTCTCTCTGGTCTCTCTCTGGTCTCTCTGGTCTCTCTCTGGTCTCTCTCTGGTCTCTCTCTGGTCTCTCTCTGGTCTCTCTCTGGTCTCTCTCTGGTCTCTCTGGTCTCTCTCTGGTCTCTCTCTGGTCTCTCTCTGGTCTCTCTCTGGTCTCTCTCTGGTCTCTCTCTGGTCTCTCTCTGGTCTCTCTCTGGTCTCTCTCTGGTCTCTCTCTGGTCTCTCTCTGGTCTCTCTCTGGTCTCTCTGGTCTCTCTCTGGTCTCTCTCTGGTCTCTCTGGTCTCTCTCTGGTCTCTCTCTGGTCTCTCTCTGGTCTCTCTGGTCTCTCTCTGGTCTCTCTCTGGTCTCTCTCTGGTCTCTCTCTGGTCTCTCTCTGGTCTCTCTCTGGTCTCTCTGGTCTCTCTCTGGTCTCTCTCTGGTCTCTCTCTGGTCTCTCTCTGGTCTCTCTCTCTGGTCTCTCTCTGGTCTCTCTGGTCTCTCTCTGGTCTCTCTCTGGTCTCTCTCTGGTCTCTCTCTGGTCTCTCTCTGGTCTCTCTCTGGTCTCTCTCTGGTCTCTCTGGTCTCTCTGTTCTCTCTGGTCTCTCTCTGGTCTCTCTGGTCTCTCTCTGGTCTCTCTCTGGTCTCTCTCTGGTCTCTCTGGTCTCTCTCTGGTCTCTCTCTGGTCTCTCTCTGGTCTCTCTCTGGTCTCTCTCTGGTCTCTCTCTGGTCTCTCTGGTCTCTCTCTGGTCTCTCTCTGGTCTCTCTCTGGTCTCTCTCTGGTCTCTCTCTCTGGTCTCTCTCTGGTCTCTCTGGTCTCTCTCTGGTCTCTCTCTGGTCTCTCTCTGGTCTCTCTCTGGTCTCTCTCTGGTCTCTCTCGTCCCTGGTCTCTTCTTCTGCTGCTTTCACTGAAGCTAAACCTCAGTGAAAGCAGCAGAAGAAGAGCAGCTGAACTAAACGGTCACAGTTGGAGTAAAGCCTAGCGTACATCGGACTGGCAACTGATTATATCCGTCGCATATGAGTTGCTGCCCCGCACACATCGACAATCTGACGAAAACGGGCAACTCCCAGTATCAGACCAGTCTCGGGAATAACAGCGCGTACATCGGGTCATATCTCCGAAACTGAGGACAACAAGTTGCCGAAAAGTAGAACACGGGCAACTGACTGAAACTGGAGACCGACTGTTTATCTCCAGTTGTAAGAGCGCGCACATCGACCGATTTCAGCAACTGATCATCTCCATCATCTGCTCTCTGTCGCCAAAAGCCGCCTTGCAACTAGTTGTCCCCAGTTTCTCTGTCGATGTACGCTAGGCTTAAGGTTGGTGTGTTGTGTTCGTAAAGACCATAAAGAGCCATAACCCTCATTAGCCGCTGCGCTAATAGCATCATGGAATGCGCCCGAACGGCCCAATGGAAAAACTATATAATTTAACAAGAGGCTAATCCGGGGATAGTTCCAGCCTCAGGTCGGAGCTACAGCTGTGGAGATGATCTGATTCACACGGAATGCACTCGAAACGAAGACACGCGCGAGAACTCTGGGTCGAAGTGAAAACAGACAAAAGCCCGAGGTTTGGACGCCGTAAACCGCGACACCGCACTGTTGTTGGAATAAACTGCTCTCATTAAACTGATGCTGTTATGGAAGCCACAGCCGCCGGGAAAGACCAGGGTGAGACCAAGGAGACCAGAGAGAGACTAGAGAGAGACCAGATTGCATGGCTGCAAGTTGGGACCCCCTGAGACCTGGGACTGTTCCAGATCAGTCCTGGGGGGTCCACACTGTGACAGACCGGTGTCAGACAGAGACCAGAACAATCATAATTATTTTTTCCGTTCCGTCCTAAACTGGTCTTGATCTTTCTTTAGCTCTGACCTTCAGCTCGAACTCTGACGCAGGACTCACTCTGAAGAGACCGAGACCGGAAACACCAGAGTCACCGCTCAAGGACAGGCGTCTGAAACAACACCGAGGGACAAAACGTACGGAGGCGGGACTTCCTGTGTGGGGGCGGGACTTCCTGTGTGGGGAGAGTGAGCAGAGGGAGATCGGAAGGAGACCAGAGAGTGAGCAGAGGGAGATCAGAAGGAGACCAGAGAGAGACCAGAGGGAAACCAGAGGGAGACCAGAGAGAGACCAGAGAGACCAGAGGGAGACCAGAGAGACCAGAGAGAGACTAGAGGGAAACCAGAGGGAGACCAGAGAGAGACCAGAGAGAGACCAGAGAGACCAGAGGGAGACCAGAGAGACCAGAGAGAGACTAGAGGGAAACCAGAGGGAGACCAGAGAGAGACCAGAGAGAGACCAGAGAGAGAGACCAGAGAGAGACCAGAGAGACCAGAGAGAGACCAGAGAGAGAGACCAGAGAGAGAGACCAGAGAGAGACCAGAGAGACCAGAGAGAGACCAGAGGGAGACCAGAGAGAGACCAGAGAGAGAGACCAGAGAGAGACCAGAGAGACCAGAGAGAGACCAAAGAGACCAAAGAGAGACTAGAAGGAGACTAGAGGGAGACCAGAGAGAGACCAGAGAAAGACTAGAGAGAGACCAGAGAGAGACCAGAGAGAGACCAGGACAGACCAGAGAGACAGCAGAGAGAGACCAGAGAGAGACCAGAGAGAGACCAGAGAAAGACCAGAGCGAGACCAGAGAGAGACCAGAGAGAGACCAGAGCGAGACCAGAGAGAGACCAGAGAGAGACCAGAGAGAGACCAGAGAGAGACCAGAGAGAGACCAGAGAGAGACCAGAGCGAGGCCAGAGAGAGACCAGAGAGAGACCAGAGAGAGACCAGGACAGACCAGAGAGACAGCAGAGAGAGACCAGAGAGAGACCAGAGAGAGACCAGAGAAAGACCAGAGCGAGACCAGAGAGAGACCAGAGAGAGACCAGAGAGAGACCAGAGAGAGACCAGAGAGAGACCAGAGAGAGACCAGAGCGAGGCCAGAGAGAGATGAGGCAAAGACTGGAGTGAGAGGATGCAGAGGAACTAGAAAGAGGGAGGCCAGATTGGGATCAGAGAGAGACCAAAGAGAGACCAGATAAAGAGAGAGACCCATAAAAAGCCGGTCCAAAGATGTGACAGAGGCCAAAACTAAATGTGAAATCTATAAACTAAATAAATGTTTTAGAGCCAAGAACGAGAGACGTGGATTTTATTAGAGTTCAAATGTCTGCGGTCTGAAAGTTGGGTACCTGAGCTTTAACTGAACACACGTCTCTGTGGAAAGGTAAACATTCTCTGAGGTTTCTCTGCTCAGACCTCCATCACCGGGAGCTCTGACAGCGGCGTTAATGCGGGGGTTAAATACGGCGCGTCCCTCGTGCGTCCGTGCGTCACCCGCGCGCACGGGGCTTAATAACGACCTGTCAGCCCCGTCTGAGGATCCAACCGGGACCAGTCTGCGGCCGCGGGTCTGAGTCTGCGGAGGGTTGATCTATGGGGGATACGCGTCTGTGTGCGGTGAGGAGGGGGGAGAGGGGGGAGAGGGGGGGAGCGAAGGCCATCGGAGACGACCACACGCGCGCACAGACCACAGACACAGGGTCAGACCAGGTTCAGGACCAGGCTCAGGACCAGGGTCAGGACCAAGTTCAGGACCAGGCTCAGGGCCAGGCTCAGGACCAGGTTCAGGACCAGGCTCAGGGCCAGGCTCAGGACCAGGCCCCGGACCAGGCCCCAGACTATAGTATTCATAAATCCGGACTGCAGACCCAGACTGCAGTAGAGTTAGATTCATGGTCCTGGTTCATGGAGAGCAGTTAAAGTCATTTATTGTTTGGATCCTTTGAATGCATTTGAACTGAAATGTTCTTTACTCTTTGGGAGGAATGGTCCCAGAGACAGACCATGAGGAGACCAGAAAGAGACCTGAGTGTGAAAGACAACGTCTCTTTTGGTCTTCATTATTCTGAAACGACTAGAACTCCCAAAGCAGTCATTTTGACGTCTCCTATTCAAAGTTTTGGTTTTCTTATAGTTTTAATAAAAGTAAGTAGATTTATAAATCAGTGATGACATCTCTCTGTGTCCTGTGTGTCTCTGTGATGCTGTCTGTGAATCCAGATATGACCATATAAGGACTGACCAATCAGAAGCCTTCATTCAGGCGGACACTCCGGCTTTCCTTTGCAACCGCCTTAGCAACACGCCTTAGTATGCGTCTTAGCAACCGTCTTAGCAACCGCCTTAGCAACACGCCTTAGCATGCGTCTTAGCAACTGCCTTAGCAATCGCCTTAGCAACCGCCTTAGTAACCGTCTTAGCAACCGTCTTAGCAACCGTCTTAGCAACCGCCTTAGCAACAGTCTTAGCAACCGCCTTAGCAACCGCCTTAGCAACAGTCTTAGCAACCGCCTTAGCAAACATCTTAGCAACCGTCTGTCTTGGTAACAGTTTATAAAAAATCCAATGCTTTATAATTATAATTATAATTATTATTATTATTAAATAAAGCCACAGTTGTCCTGAAGTGTTTATTGATGGTTCAGTGGTTACAGTTTCTGCATTTCATGATTCAGCTTCAAACACAGATTTATACAAACAATAAAACAATAAAACCCATTCTACAGAAGTCTCTCTGCTGTGAGTGACAGGACACAGAGACATGAGTCAGAAATAAAAAAAATTCATCCATTTGTTCTTGTTTTTTGGAACAGAGCTGGAGGATTTAATCTACTGCACATGTTTTTGGCGGGAAAGGAAACCGGAGCACCTGGAGGAAACCTACGCAGACACAAGGAGAACATGCAAAATCCACACAGAAAGGTTTTGTTTCCGACCAGGATTTAAACTCAGAACCTTCTTTAAACATGTGCAATAGGTCAAACCAGAGAGAGACCAGAGAGAGACAAGAGAGAGAGAGACCAGAGAGAGAGAGACCAGAGAGAGACCAGAGAGAGACCAGAGAGAGAGAGAGACCAGAGAGAGACCAGAGAGAGACCAGAGAGAGAGACCAGAGAGAGAGACCAGAGAGAGACCAGAGAGAGACAAGAGAGAGAGACCAGAGAGAGAGAGACCAGAGAGGAGAGAGACCAGAGAGAGACCAGAGAGAGACCAGAGAGAGAGACCAGAGAGAGAGACCAGAGAGAGACCAGAGAGAGACCAGAGAGAGACCAGAGAGAGACCAGAGAGAGAGACCAGAGAGAGAGACCAGAGAGAGACCAGAGAGAGACCAGAGAGAGACCAGAGAGAGACCAGAGAGAGACAGAGAGACCAGAGAGAGAGACCAGAGAGAGACCAGAGAGAGACAGAGAGACCAGAGAGAGAGACCAGAGAGAGACCAGAGAGAGACCAGAGAGAGAGACCAGAGAGAGAGACCAGAGAGAGACCAGAGAGAGACCAGAGAGAGACAGAGAGACCAGAGAGAGAGACCAGAGAGAGACCAGAGAGAGACCAGAGAGAGAGAGACCAGAGAGACCCCAGAGAGAGAGAGACCAGAGAGAGACCAGAGAGAGACCAGAGAGAGAGACCAGAGAGAGAGACCAGAGAGAGAGACCAGAGAGAGAGACCAGAGAGAGACCAGAGAGAGACCAGAGAGAGACAGAGAGACCAGAGAGAGAGACCAGAGAGAGAGACCAGAGAGAGACCAGAGAGAGACCAGAGAGAGAGACCAGAGAGAGAGACCAGAGAGAGAGACCAGAGAGAGACCAGAGAGAGACAGAGAGACCAGAGAGAGAGACCAGAGAGAGACCAGAGAGAGACCAGAGAGAGACAGAGAGACCAGAGAGAGAGACCAGAGAGAGACCAGAGAGAGAGACCAGAGAGAGAGACCAGAGAGAGAGACCAGAGAGAGAGACCAGAGAGAGACCAGAGAGAGACCAGAGAGAGACAGAGAGAGACCAGAGAGAGACCAGAGAGAGACCAGAGAGAGACCAGAGAGAGAGAGACCAGAGAGAGACCAGAGAGAGAGAGACCAGAGAGAGACCAGAGAGAGAGGACCAGAGAGAGAGAGACCAGAGAGAGAGAGACCAGCAGAGAGACCAGAGAGAGACCAGAGAGAGAGACCAGAGAGAGACCAGAGAGAGAGACCAGAGAGAGACCAGAGAGACCAGAGAGAGACAGAGAGACAGAGAGACCAGAGAGAGAGACCAGAGAGAGACCAGAGAGAGACCAGAGAGAGAGACCAGAGAGAGACAGAGAGACCAGAGAGAGACCAGAGAGACCAGAGAGAGACCAGAGAGAGACCAGAGAGAGACCAGAGAGAGAGACCAGAGAGACACCAGAGAGACACCAGAGAGAGAGAGAGACCAGAGAGAGAGACCAGAGAGAGACCAGAGAGAGAGACCAGAGAGAGAACCACCTCCATCTTTTGTCAGTTAAACTAAATAACACAACTTCAGGACAAATGTAAATATTGCAGTTGGTTAAGGCAGCGACACTGAAGGCACATAGACTGTCAGACGGTAGAATGTTGTCTGAGGAGGCTTTCAGACCAGAAGGATCATCTCCTCGTGGTTAAAGTCTTCACTGGTTTGTTTTCGCTGGTCCAAACGAGCCACCATCTTCATCAGCAGCGTAATATCTGTAGAAAAGACAAAATACATGTTACCAGCAAAAAGGACCAGAGGGAGACCAGAGGGAGACCAGAGAGAGACCAGACGAGACCAGAGGGAGACCAGAGAGAGAGAGAGAGACCAGAGAGAGACCAGAGAGAGACCAGAGAGAGAGACCAGAGAGAGACCAGAGAGAGACCAAGAGAGAGCAGAGGGAGACCTAGAGAGGAGACCAGAGAGAGAGACCAAGTGAGAGCAGAGATCAGAAGAGAGACCAGAGAGAGACCAGAGGGAGAGCAGAGAGAGACCGGAGAGAGACCAGAGAGAGAGACCGAGAGAGACCAGAGAGAGACCAGAGGGAGAGCAGAGGGAGACCAGAGAGGAGCAGAGGGAGATCGAAGGAGACCAGAGAGTGAGCAGAGGAGATCAGAAGAGAGACCAGAGAGAGACCAGAGGGAGAGAGCAGAGGAGACCAAGAGAGACCGTGAGAGAGACCAGAGAGAGACCAGAGGGAGACCAGAGAGAGACCAGAGGGAGAGCAGAGGAGACCAGAGGGAGACCAGAGAGTGAGCAGAGGGAGATCAGAAGGAGACCAGAGAGACCAGAGGGAACCATAGAGACCAGAGAGAGAACCAGAGAGGAGACCAGAGAGAGACCAGAGGAGAGACCAGAGAGAGACCAGAGAGAGACCAGAGAGAGACCAGAGAGAGACCAGAGAGAGACCAGAGGGAGAACAGAGAGAGACCAGTGAGAGACCGGAGGGAGACCAGAGGGAGACCAGAGGGAGACCAGAGGGAGACCAGAGGGAGACCAGAGAGAGACCAGAGAGACCAGACGGAGACAAGAGGGAGACTAGAGAGAGACAGATTCTTCTTTCATAATAGTGTACTCGATCAGAGACTTACTGGGAAGGCGTAGAGGAAGACTCCGATGAAGAGGAAGAGGAGGAAGAGCAGGAGGAAGAGGAGGATGAAGCCCTTCCACCTCCTCCACACGATGAAGCGCAGAGTCTTGTACGGAGACGAGAGCCAGAGGAAGGAGGTCTCCGGCCGCCTGCACCAAACACACTGTCAGTACAACCTGGAGCACCTGGAGGAAACCCACGCGGACACAGGGAGAACATGCAAACTCCACACGGAAAGGCTCTGTCTGGAGGGGGACCCAGGATCTAGAGACATGTGTGTGTCCCTGCGGTCTACGGCCTCAGTCCTGGGTCTACGGCCTCAGTCCTGGGTCTACGGCCTCAGTCCTGGGTCTACGGCCTCAGTCCTGGGTCTACGGCCTCAGTCCTGGGTCTACGGCCTCAGTCCTGGGTCTACAGCCTCAGTCCTGGGTCTACCTTGGCTCCTGGAGCGTGGGGTTCATGTTGGGCTCGTCTCGTCCCACTCCCGCAGGCCTCTCCTCCTGCTCCAGCTCAGACACCAGCTCCAGGGACATCTCCACTTTACCCTGAGAACCAGAAAGACACCATCAATCATTATCTGTCACCATGACAACAACTCGGGAGTAAAGCAAAACAACTCTCTCTGATCTCTCTCTGGTCTCTCTCTGATCTCTCTCTGGTCTCTCTCTGGTCTCTCTCTGGTCTCTCTCTCTGGTCTCTCTCTCTGGTCTCTCTCTCTGGTCTCTCTCTGGTCTCTCTCTGATCTCTCTCTCTGGTCTCTCTCTGGTCTCTCTCTGGTCTCCCTCTGGTCCCTCTCTGGTCTCTCTCTCTGGTCTCTCTCTCTGGTCTCTCTCTGGTCTCTCTCTGATCTCTCTCTCTGGTCTCTCTCTGATCTCTCTCTCTGGTCTCTCTCTCTGGTCTCCCTCTGGTCTCTCTCTGGTCTCCCTCTGGTCCCTCTCTGGTCCCTCTCTGGTCTCTCTCTGGTCTCCCTCTGGTCTCCCTCTGGTCTCTCTCTGGTCTCCCTGTGGTCTCTCTCTGGTCTCCCTCTGGTCTCCCTCTGGTCCCTCTCTGATCTCTCTCTGGTCTCTCTCTGGTCCCTCTCTGGTCTCTCTCTGGTCTCTCTCTGGTCTCCCTCTGGTCCCTCTCTGGTCCCTCTCTGGTCCCTCTCTGGTCTCTCTCTGGTCTCTCTCTGGTCTCTCTCTGGTCTCTCTCTGGTCCCTCTCTGGTCCCTCTCTGGTCTCTCTCTGGTCTCTCTCTGGTCTCTCTCTGGTCTCTCTCTGGTCTCTCTCTGGTCTCTCTCTGGTCTCCCTCTGGTCCCTCTCTGATCTCTCTCTGGTCTCTCTCTGGTCCCTCTCTGGTCTCTCTCTGGTCTCTCTCTGGTCTCCCTCTGGTCCCTCTCTGGTCCCTCTCTGGTCCTCTCTCTGGTCTCTCTCTGGTCTCTCTCTGGTCTCTCTCTGGTCTCTCTCTGATCTCTCTCTCTGGTCTCTCTCTGGTCTCTCTCTGGTCTCCCTCTGGTCCCTCTCTGGTCTCTCTCTCTGGTCTCTCTCTCTGGTCTCTCTCTGGTCTCTCTCTGATCTCTCTCTCTGGTCTCTCTCTGATCTCTCTCTCTGGTCTCTCTCTCTGGTCTCCCTCTGGTCTCTCTCTGGTCTCCCTCTGGTCCCTCTCTGGTCCCTCTCTGGTCTCTCTCTGGTCTCTCTCTGGTCTCTCTCTGGTCTCTCTCTGGTCTCCCTCTGGTCTCTCTCTGGTCTCTCTCTGGTCTCCCTCTGGTCCCTCTCTGGTCTCTCTCTGGTCTCTCTCTGGTCTCTCTCTGGTCTCTCTCTGGTCTCTCTCTGGTCTCCCTCTGGTCCCTCTCTGGTCCCTCTCTGGTCCCTCTCTGGTCTCTCTCTGGTCTCTCTCTGGTCTCTCTCTGGTCTCTCTCTGGTCTCTCTCTGGTCCCTCTCTGGTCCCTCTCTGGTCTCTCTCTGGTCTCTCTCTGGTCTCTCTCTGGTCTCTCTCTGGTCTCTCTCTGGTCTCCCTCTGGTCCCTCTCTGATCTCTCTCTGGTCTCTCTCTGGTCCCTCTCTGGTCTCTCTCTGGTCTCTCTCTGGTCTCCCTCTGGTCCCTCTCTGGTCCCTCTCTGGTCCCTCTCTGGTCTCTCTCTCTGGTCTCTCTCTGGTCTCCCTCTGGTCCCTCTCTGGTCCCTCTCTGGTCCCTCTCTGGTCTCTCTCTGGTCTCTCTCTGGTCTCTCTCTGGTCTCTCTCTGGTCCCTCTCTGGTCTCTCTCTCTGGTCTCTCTCTCTGGTCTCTCCCTCTGGTCTCACCGCTAGCGTCTTGTCTGCATCTCTCTCGCACACACATGGCCACCAGCCCTTCATGGTCTTCTGCTCGAACAGAGAGACCAGTTTGGATCGAGGCTGCTGCAGCTGGTCCAGGTCACAGGCTCCGGCAGACTTCACCGGACGGACCATGTGGTTTAGGTCCAGCACCAGGTGACCTACACCAGGAGAGAGAGGGGGGGGAGGAGAGAGAGGAGAGAGAGGAGACTAATCAGAACTCTGCTCTGATTGGTCAGAACGCTGCCCTCTGATTGGTCGGATCATGGTGTTTTACCCAAATAGTCGTCGAAGGAAAACCTGTCGTTGTCCCAGATCTGGATGGAGAGTTTTGGAGGAAGTTTTGTCTCTGATTTGTCCAAACTCCAGAAATGTTCCTGAAAATAAACCAGAGAAAAACATGCTAGATCCAGAAACCAGAGAGAGACCAGAGAGAGACCAGAGAGAGACCAGAGAGAGAGACCAGAGAGAGACCAGAGAGAGACCAGAGAGAGACCAGAGAGAGACCAGAGAGAGACCAGAGAGAGACCAGAGGGAGACCAGAGAGAGAGACCAGCGAGAGACCAGAGAGAGACCAGAGAGAGAGACCAGAGAGAAACCAGAGAGAGACCAGAGAGAGACCAGAGAGAGACCAGAGAGAGACCAGAGGGAGACCAGAGAGAGAGACTAGAGAGAGACCAGAGAGAGACCAGAGAGAGAGACTAGAGAGAGAGACTAGAGAGAGACCAGAGAGAGACCAGAGAGAGAGACTAGAGAGAGACTAGAGAGAGACCAGAGAGAGACCAGAGAGAGACCAGAGAGAGACCAGAGAGAGACCAGAAGACCAGAGACCAGAGAGAGACCAGAGAGAGACCAGAGAGAGACCAGAGAGAGACCAGAGAGAGACCAGAGAGAGACCAGAGAGAGAGACCAGAGAGAGAGACCAGAGAGAGACCAGAGAGAGACCAGAGAGAGACCAGAGAGAGAGACCAGAGAGAGACCAGAGAGAGAGACTAGAGAGAGACCAGAGAGAGACCAGAGAGAGACCAGAGAGAGGGACCAGAGAGAGACTAGAGAGAGACCAGAGAGAGACCAGAGAGAGACCAGAGAGAGGGACCAGAGAGAGACCAGAGAGAGACCAGAGAGAGAGACCAGAGAGAGACCAGAGAGAGAGACCAGAGAGAGAGACCAGAGAGAGAGACTAGAGAGAGACCAGAGAGAGACTAGAGAGAGACCAGAGAGAGACCAGAGAGAGACCAGAGAGAGAGACCAGAGAGAGACCAGACAGACACCAGAGAGAGACCAGAGAGAGACCAGAGAGAGACCAGAGAGAGAGACCAGAGAGAGACCAGAGAGAGACCAGAGAGAGACCAGAGAGAGAGACCAGAGAGAGACCAGAGAGAGAGACTAGAGAGAGACCAGAGAGAGACCAGAGAGAGACCAGAGAGAGGGACCAGAGAGAGAGACCAGAGAGAGACCAGAGAGAGAGACCAGAGAGAGACCAGAGAGAGAGACTAGAGAGAGACCAGATAGAGAGTAGAGAGAGACCAGAGAGAGACCAGAGAGAGACCAGAGAGAGAGACTAGAGAGAGACCAGAGAGAGACCAGAGAGAGAGACCAGAGAGAGACCAGAGAGAGAGACCAGAGAGAGAGAGACCAGAGAGAGACCAGAGAGAGAGACCAAGAGAGAGAGAGAGAGACAGAGAGAGACCAGAGAGAGACCAGAGAGAGAGACCAGAGAGAGACCAGAGAGAGACCAGAGAGAGACCAGAGAGAGAGACTAGAGAGAGACCAAAGAGAGACCAGAGAGAGACCAGAGAGAGACCAGAGAGAGACCAGAGAGAGAGACTAGAGAGAGACCAGAGAGGGACCAGAGAGGGACCAGAGAGAGACCAGAGAGAGATCAGAGAGTAACCAAAGAGAGACCAGAGAGAGACCAGAGAGAGAGACCAGAGAGAGAGACCAGAGAGAGACCAGAGAGAGAGACCAGAGAGAGAGACTAGAGAGAGACCAGAGAGAGACCAGAGAGAGAGACCAGAGAGAGACCAGAGAGAGACCAGAGAGAGACCAGAGAGAGAGACTAGAGAGAGACCAAAGAGAGACCAGAGAGAGACCAGAGAGAGACCAGAGAGAGACCAGAGAGAGAGACTAGAGAGAGACCAGAGAGAGACCAGAGAGAGAGACCAGAGAGAGACCAGAGAGAGACCAGAGAGAGAGACCAGAGAGAGAGACCAGAGAGAGACCAGAGAGAGAGAGACCAGAGAGAGAGACTAGAGAGAGACCAGAGAGAGACCAGAGAGAGAGACCAGAGAGAGAGACCAGAGAGAGACCAGAGAAAGACCAGAGAGAGACCAGAGAGAGAGACTAGAGAGAGACCAAAGAGAGACCAGAGAGAGACCAGAGAGAGACCAGAGAGAGACCAGAGAGAGAGACTAGAGAGAGACCAGAGAGAGACCAGAGAGAGAGACCAGAGAGAGACCAGAGAGAGACCAGAGAGAGACCAGAGAGGGACCAGAGAGGGACCAGAGAGGGACCAGAGAGAGACCAGAGAGAGACCAGAGAGGAACCAGAGAGAGACCAGAGAGAGATCAGAGAGAGACCAAAGAGAGACCAGAGAGAGTCCAGAGAGAGACCAGAGAGGAACCAGAGAGAGACCAGAGAGAGACCAGAGAGAGACCAGAAAGAGAGACCAGAGAGAGACCAGAGAGAGACCAGAGAGGGATACATACTCTGTCAGTATCTGGAGATACTCTAAGAGACAAGATTTAACTGATTGCGAGTTTGATTTATTGAGTGCTTTGGGGTTTGACTCGATCAAGAGACCGAAAGTTTTGCCCATTCCTCTTTACAAAACAACTCATGCGTTGTCAGATCAGACTGAGGGCGTTTGTTTTACTTTCAGGTCATACTTTTACTCACTGCTGTTTCTTTTGTCGTAATCTTAAACCTCCCATCACATCAAAACACTCCTGGGTCTGCAGCCTCAGTCCTGGGTCTACAGCCTCAGTCCTGGGTCTACAGCCTCAGTCCTGGGTCTACAGCCTCAGTCCTGGGTCTACAGCCTCAGTCCTGGGTCTACAGCCTCAGTCCTGGGTCTACAGCCTCAGTCCTGGGTCTGCAGCCTCAGTCCTGGGTCTACAGCCTCAGTCCTGGGTCTACAACCTCAGACCTGGGTCTACAGCCTCAGTCCTGGGTCTACAGCCTCAGTCCTGGGTCTACAGCCTCAGTCCTGGGTCTGCAGCCTCAGTCCTGGGTCTACAGCCTCAGTCCTGGGTCTACAGCCTCAGACCTGGATCTACAGCCTCAGTCCTGGGTCTACAGCCTCAGTCCTGGGTCTACAGACTCAGTCCTGGGTCTACGGCCTCAGTCCTGGGTCTACAGCCTCAGTCCTGGGTCTGCAGCCTCAGTCCTGGGTCTACAGCCTCAGTCCTGGGTCTACAACCTCAGACCTGGATCTACAGCCTCAGTCCTGGGTCTACAGCCTCAGTCCTGGGTCTACAGCCTCAGTCCTGGGTCTACAGCCTCAGTCCTGGGTCTACAGCCTCAGTCCTGGGTCTACAGTCTCAGTCCTGGGTCTACAGCCTCAGTCCTGGGTCCAGAGACCAGAGAGAGACCAGAGAGAGACCAGAGAGAGACCAGAGAGAGAGACCAGAGAGAGACCAGAGAGAGACCAGAGAGAGACCAGAGAGAGAGACCAGAGAGAGAGACTAGAGAGAGACCAGAGAGAGACCAGAGAGAGAGACTAGAGAGAGACCAGAGAGAGACCAGAGAGAGAGACCAGAGAGAGACCAGAGAGAGACCAGAGAGAGACCAGAGAGAGACCAGACAGACACCAGAGAGAGACCAGAGAGAGACCAGAGAGAGACCAGAGAGAGAGACCAGAGAGAGAGACCAGAGAGAGACCAGAGAGAGACCAGAGAGAGACCAGAGAGAGACCAGAGAGAGACCAGAGAGAGAGACTAGAGAGAGACCAGAGAGAGACCAGAGAGAGACCAGAGAGAGGGACCAGAGAGAGAGACCAGAGAGAGACCAGAGAGAGAGACCAGAGATAGACCAGAGAGAGAGACCAGAGAGAGAGACTAGAGAGAGACCAGAGAGAGACCAGAGAGAGACCAGAGAGAGACCAGAGAGAGAGACTAGAGAGAGACCAGAGAGAGACCAGAGAGAGAGACCAGAGAGAGAGACCAGAGAGAGAGACCAGAGAGAGAGACCAGAGAGAGACCAGAGAGAGAGACCAGAGAGAGAGACTAGAGAGAGACCAGAGAGAGACCAGAGAGAGAGACCAGAGAGAGACCAGAGAGAGACCAGAGAGAGACCAGAGAGAGAGACTAGAGAGAGACCAAAGAGAGACCAAAGAGAGACCAGAGAGAGACCAGAGAGAGACCAGAGAGAGACCAGAGAGAGACCATAGAGAGACCAGAGAGAGAGACTAGAGAGAGACCAGAGAGAGACCAGAGAGAGAGACCAGAGAGAGACCAGAGAGAGAGACCAGAGAGAGAGACCAGAGAGAGAGACCAGAGAGAGACCAGAGAGAGAGACCAGAGAGAGAGACTAGAGAGAAACCAGAGAGAGACCAGAGAGAGAGACCAGAGAGAGACCAGAGAGAGACCAGAGAGAGAGACTAGAGAGAGACCAAAGAGAGACCAGAGAGAGACCAGAGAGAGACCAGAGAGAGACCAGAGAGAGAGACTAGAGAGAGAGACCAGAGAGAGACCAGAGAGAGACCAGAGAGAGACCAGAGAGGGACCAGAGAGGGACCAGAGAGGGACCAGAGAGAGACCAGAGAGAGACCAGAGAGGAACCAGAGAGAGACCAGAAAGAGAGACCAGAGAGAGACCAAATAGAGACCAGAGAGAGACCAGAGAGAGATCAGAGAGAGACCAAAGAGAGACCAGAGAGAGACCAGAGAGAGACCAGAGAGGAACCAGAGAGAGACCAGAAAGAGAGACCAGAGAGAGACCAGAGAGAGACCAGAGAGGGATACATACTCTGTCAGTATCTGGAGATACTCTAAGAGACAAGATTTAACTGATTGCGAGTTTGATTTATTGAGTGCTTTGGGGTTTGACTCGATCAAGAGACCGAAAGTTTTGCCCATTCCTCTTTACAAAACAACTCATGCGTTGTCAGATCAGACTGAGGGCATTTGTTTTACTTTCAGGTCATACTTTTACTCACTGCTGTTTCTTTTGTCGTAATCTTAAACCTCCCATCACATCAAAACACTCCTGGGTCTGCAGCCTCAGTCCTGGGTCTGCAGCCTCAGTCCTGGGTCTACAGCCTCAGTCCTGGGTCTGCAGCCTCAGTCCTGGGTCTACAGCCTCAGTCCTGGGTCTAC